CTGTAGGCTGTAATGTTTCAGAATACCCATCTGGGATGTGTTAATATGTTTTTGTTTGCTTTAACCTGTGTTTTTTGTTGCTTCACTCTGAAAGTCCATCTCCTGCTGCACCAGTAGGAGTTGTGGAGAGGGAGGTTGTGTCCATTGGGCCTGCAGTGCCAAAAGGATCAGACATTGCAGAGAATGACAGAATAATTTTTGTTCTTCTTGGGAAAGGTCTCCAATACCTTTGAGTCCAACCTGTGCCTGATGCCCACTTTGTCACCAGCCCAGAGCACACTGTGTGCCATGTCCAAACTTTCCTTGGACGCCTCCAGGAATGGGGACTCCACACTGCCATGGGCAGCTCTTTGCAAGGCCTGAGCACCCTCTCCATGGAGAAATTCCTGCTGCTGTCCACCCCGAGCCTCCCCTGGCCCAGCCTGAGGCCATTCCCTCTCCTCCTGTCCCTGTTCCCTGGGAGCAGAGCCCCAACCCCCCCCTCCCCCTCCACCACCAGCTGCCCCTCTTGTCAGGAGTTGTAGAAGTGAGAAAGGTTCATCTGAGCCTCCTTTTCTCCAGGCTGAGCCCTTCCAGCTCCCTCAGCCTCTCCTCATATGACTTACATGTGTGGCAGAGGGTACTTGCTTAGGACAGTGTGTGGGCACTTAGAGAAATTGGAATCTCAAAGTCTCCTTCTCCCTCCCAGGAGGTCAAGGGCTGGAGAATATTCAGCAGCCCACAGGCAGTGCCTGCATGGGCTGTAAGAATTTCTGCCAAAGTCCCAAGGGACACACAGGTGACTTAGGAAGAGAATCAAAGCTGAGACTGTTGTGTCTGTGAATTATGAATCAGGTCTCAAATCCTCTGTTAGTCTGAGCAAAATTTAGAAGCTTTTCTCCTGCCTCTACCAGCTGATGTCAACGTAAGTCTTCTGCAGGTATGGTGAAGTTACTCAGAGAGTCGTAGAACACTTTGGGTTGAAAGGGATCTGAAGGCCCATCTCATTCTGATCTCCCCTGCCATGAGCAGGGACACCTTCCACTCTCCCAGGTTGCTCCAAGCCCCATCCAACCTACCCTGGAACACTTCCCAGGATGGAGCAGCCACAGCTTCTCTGGGCAAGGGCCTCACCACCCTCACAGGGACGCATTTCTTCCCCATATCCCGTCTAATCCTGCTCTCTGGCAGTGGGAAGCTATTCCCCCTTGTTCTGTTGTGCCATGCCCATGGTGAAGAACTTCTCAGGGACCTTTTGGTTTTGCTAATGGCACACCACAAAAGCTATGGAAAAACAGAGGAATGTGCTGCTGTGAATTTACTTGTTTTTTTCTTTTATCAGAAGGGACACCATTAACTTTCATCTGTCATCTGAATGTCCAGGAAACAAGAGATCAGGAATAGCTCCTCAGTGCCTGGAATGCTGTTTAGACTGTTTTCAGCATAGAGGCATGTGATAATGCTGGATGATTTATATTTTAAAGGAAAATACGTCTTGTAATTACCAAAATTTCACTCACAAAGAGAAATTGTTGTTCCAGTTGTCTGGGAACAGAACTGACTTGATTGCTGAGAGTGAAAGGAGTCTGAAAATAGTCATCTAAGAGAGGCACTTTAATTTCCTCATTTCTTAACTAATGCCTGTTTGGTGTGTAGATTAAATCGGATACAACTCCGTCCCTCTGCCCCAAGCTGCCTTGGCATCTGGCAATCGCTGGTGGTAGAGTCCAAGCTTAGTCCTGAAACTGCCAATTCTCCATCTCACCTTTCATCACTTCTCTGTGTGCCATGGCACCACTCTCCACCTGGTGCTTCCTAGCAGAGTCCTTTTTGGCAAATACTGGAAGCTGGGCACAAAGAGAACGTGGAGAAAGTCTCAGACCTCCCCAGAAATCCAGAACTTGAGTCTGAAAATGTAAAATTGGTTCCACTGCTTAAATATACTGAAATCAGAGATTCAGGGAGCTGGAATAGCAAACATCTCTGTTGTCCACATGCTGTAAAGCCAGGGCTCTGCTGAGGAACTCCGTTTTCATTAAACAATTTCCGAGTCCCACTCAGCATTACTGCAATCCCGCTGGCAGCCTTTCTTAAGAGCTGCTCCAAGAGGACAGTCTTTAAACTCTGCAGTCGCCTCAATATTTAAATTTACTCTTGCAGTGACTACAACACTGTGCCTCAGTGGTTGGGAAGGAATTTTACATATTCAGCTTCTAGTGGAGTATTAACTGGTCCCAGCATACAAAAGGCAAATAGTTGCCTTTTAGGGATGAAGTGGAAAGCTAAATGTTATCCAGACCACTTCATCAAGGTGAAAAACAATAAGGATCTTGAGACCCTGAATGCAAAGGTCTTTCTGTTTGAGTGGTTTGAGTGATCTCATTCCACTGGGCAGATTTGCCTTCCTCAGTTTCTGAAACAGTAGTGCACAAAGAAGTGCAAACATCCATCCCAGAACTAAGATGGGAAGCAGAACAAATAATGCTACTACCAACCAGGCACCTCTTTGGCAAGGAATGTGGAGAGAAAGGAAAACACTGTTCTCCCTCATCTGTCACAATCTCAGCACATGCTTATTTCTGACAAAAGATACATTGAGTTTGGAGCTCTCTGTCTCTAATTCCCAACCTTTGATGAAAAAGGAACTTGAGATATTATTGCTTTAAATGAGAAGGATGAGTTTTAAAAATCAAAACACATTTCTTTGCTTAACATTCAGGAATCAAAATACTTTAATCAACTCTATGACCAATCTTCAATAGCAAAACAAAACAACTCCTACTTCCAAATGATGTTTGAGCCACAGAAAACATTGCAACACAGAAAAATAATATAAAAATATTAGAACATTGAATAAGCTCAAATGCAGACACTGCTGAATGAAAATTATTACCATTTATCAACATTTTTGTGTCCTTTATAATAGTATGTACTTTATTCAACATCGCCTCTGACTGATTGTAGAGAAACTACGGCAGAAGTGGGTCAGAGAGCTCACCTGAAGGCTTTCCCTTGATCTGAGGCAGCCTGGTATTGCCTCTGGCAGCAGGAAAGCTGAGCATGGCACAAAAGGCTGTTCCTGAGAGTCTCCAGCTCACTTTAAATCCTTTGCATTGTGGTGCTCTGGCGTGGCCACAGCCACAGCAGAACATTCCTGGCTACAGGTGAAGATGTCCAATGTCAGACAATTCCCTTTTCTGACCCAGAGATGGGGCAACTAAGAGGCTTTTAAAAACCTTTTATTCCGTTTTCAGTCTCATGAGAAGGGTGAGACAATACAGATGTTATAATTCATGCCATCACAATCAGAAGGCAACTATTTCCTAATTACAACACACTATAAGTGTTTCTTGGCCTATCAGCTTTTTGCCACACCACGCTGTAAATGCCTTAAAGCCAATCATCTAAAATTACCCCTTGTGGTTCCCACTACAATGCATCTTTCATAGTTCTGTTTCTCCAAAGTATCCACTCTTATTTGCAAGGCCATCCTTTGAAACTTTATTCTAGCTCCATTTCTCTCTCAACAATATCTGTCCTATTCCATGGCATTTCTAAGTCAGCATTTCTTGTCTCAAAGTTTGCACACTGATGCACACTGTGTGAGCCTTCTGTCAGGCTTTGAGAATTCTCTACAAATCCATTTCCCACAGCCCAAGAGCTAGGAGAGAACATCTTCAGCTGCACAGAACAAGGAGAATGGATGTAGAGAGAGGCTCCGATTTTTTGCTGGAAAAAGTTTCAATCGGCATATTTGACCCCATTCCCAATGCTGAAATCCAAGCCAGCTGGCAAAAAATGCCCACCCCTTTTCCTTTTTGCTTACAAGCAGGAGCTTTCTGCTTTTTCTTGTCAAATTTGAGCCTCCTGCACGTTCCTCTGTTTGGGAAGTTCTTAAAATGGCCCCGTGCCACAGAATTCAAGAGCTGCAATTTGAAGGTTAAAGGGGGAACTTCGCTCATATGGAAGAATATTTTCATATTTTCACTATTTTCACTATTTCATAAATAAATATTATGTCTATTTAAAAATATTTACATTTTGAAATTTAAATTTTAAGTTTTATATTTTTAAAATTTTAGATTTATTTGAATTTATATTTATATTTTTATCAATTTTTAATAAAAAAAATTTCATCTTTTCACTATTTTTACTATTTTATAAATATATTTTAAATTTTATGTCTATTTAAAAATATTTATATTTTAAAATTTAAAATTAAAATTTATTTTTAAAAATTTAAATTTATTTGAATTTATATTTATATTTTAATCAATATTTCATATTTTCACTATTTTCACATATTATTTTCATATATTTTCACATATTTTTCCCTATTTTCACATATTTTCACTCATTTGTACTTCAGAATGGACATGGTTACACCCATCTCTGCCTTGTAAACAGGCAGCAGCAGGTGAGTTTGTTTGAAGGCCACAGTTTCCAATATAATTTCCAAAATCCTGTTAACTGCTTGGCTGAAACTGCATGTCCCAGTGATCTGCCATGTGCCTGGTGTCAAGGAGGCTTCTCGTGGGTGCTTTGGTCTGCAGGGTGATGGTGGCAGTTCCTAATGGGTGAATTTCCCTCTAGTGCTGGGGAATCCTCAGGGAATGCCAGCTTGGAAGTGCCTCCAGATGCTGCCAAGACATGAAGATCCCGAGTCCAGTGCTAAGGACAGAGTTGGCTCACCCCATGGAAAACTAATGGCTAAAAGAGAACAAAATAACTAGATTCTAGTAGCTTTTGGCTACAAACATATCAGGAATTCCGTGCTCCCCAGAGGGGAATTCAGTCCTGGGAAAAAGGCACAGCAGCCTGCCGATTATCAGAGAATTACTGCTAAATGGAGAAAAGCTGACAACAAATATTTGCTCTCGGATCAATTACGTTTAAAGTGCAATGTTTGGAGCAGAGCTTGGACATGGGGAGGTCAGGTGTAGGATCAAGGCTGCATTTATATAAAGACAGAGGGATATGCACTGGGAATCCTTGCTTGGAAAGGAAAAAGACAGGAGGATTTTGGAAGTCACACTATGAGGATCCTAATTTTTCTCCTCACATTGGGCGTTTTCTCATGTTCAGGTAAATTAGAGCCTTGTCCTCCTTTACAGGGTGGTTTTGGGGAGAAAAGTATAATCCTTCAGTGGACTTCTGATGGAACTGTGCCTCCCTCTCAGGGTTCCCAGCGTATGACTATGACCTCCCTGTCACAGAGGAGGCTCTCAATGCTTCCATTGCAAGGATCAATTCCCAGTCATGGAGCAGAAACCTCTATGGTGTTGTCAGGAGCCGAGTCATGGGAGTAAGTACAAAGACAACGGAGGTCCTTTACCTGAAATGTGCTTTGCTGGGATGGAAAACTCTTTTTCACCCAGTCCTGGAAACCCAGATTAAGTTGGAGGTGGCTGATGCTACTTGAAAGAGGGTGGGTTTGGGCCATTATCTGAAGTTCCAGCTTCAGGAACCTAAATATCTTTTGCATGTAGGTTTAAAATGAAAATACTTTAGGAATTCAGATTTTTCACTCCTAGAATAAAGTCCCAAAATAAATGTTGTCCTGTAGGATTTTGTTGAAAAGTGATGTTTTTAAATACCTCCAGCTTTGGGCCTCAAGCACCCTGCTTCATCTGAAGCTCTTTGCTGGTTAAATGCTCTCACAATTCAGGATTCTTTCTCTGATCTTTATTTATGTCATCTGCCTCTATGCACCAATTCTGGTTTAAATCTGCTAGAGTCTAAGTGCAAGCAAGAAACCCCTATCTGTTTTAATTTGTGGTGCTCAGAATTATACTGGATACTCCCCAAGTTAAGGAGTTAAAACTTCTTAATTCAAAGTTATATTGTCCATGCTCCTGAACACCCTAAGAATTTTCCTTTCTGTTAAAACTTCTTAATTCAAAGTTATGATGTCAATGCTCCTGAACACCCTGAGAACCTTTCTGTTCCTATAGGTGGCCTGTATCAAGTCTCTGCAAGAATGAATGTCAAGATGATGTATGGATTTATACAATTTAGATTAAAACCCCCAAGTATTTGAAAGTAGCGGGAATTTGTTGTTTATTTGGGTTTTTTTTTTGGGGTGCTGCTTTTTAAATTTTTTTAAGTCTCCCATCTTGAGCATTGATTGGACAATGAGGAAAGGGAAAAGAATAATCCAAAAGGACTAATGCTGTGTTGTGTTGACCCTGCTTTCACCAGGTGGACACGTGGGACAGCGATACCTATGGGTTAGATCTGCACTTCAGCATCCATGAGACCGTGTGCACCAAAGCTTCGGGGAGAGACCCCTCTACCTGTGACTTCAAAACTGGCCCTTTCGTGGTAGGTGCCCCTGGTGGGGCTGAGAACCCTCCCCTGTGGTGTTTGTGAGGGTCCCAGGACAAGGGAAGAGATGAATCTGACTCCATGTTCTCAGAAGGCTGATTTATTATATTATGATATGGTTTCTATTCTATTCTATTCTATTCTATTCTATTCTATTCTATTCTATTCTACTCTATTCTATTCTGAATGCTAGACTAAAACTATGCTAAAGAAAGAGAAAGGACACATCTGAAAGCTTAACAACAATGAATAATAAAAACCCGTGACTGACTCCTCAGAGTCCGACAGAGCTGATGGTGATTGGTCATTAAGAAAGACAATTCACATGGAACCAATCAAACAATCACCTACCACATTCCAAAGCAGCAAAACACAAGGAGAAGCAGTCAGATTGTTGTTATTTACATTCCTCTCTGAGGCTTCTCAGCTTCCCAGGAGAAGAAATCCTGGGAAAGGGATTTTTCTGAAAATATCACAGTGACACTCCCCTCCATGCAGTATCTTCTCAGGAAGGGTTGCAGTGCCACTGGTGCTGAGAAGTGAGGAATGTCTGGATGCTTTTGATACAACCTGCAGCATGGAGTGGGTGTTGGGTGGGAAACTCGTCTGCCTGCTCAGTGGGGAGGGCAGGGAGCTGAAAAGAGGATTTGTGTCTGGGAGCAGTATGTAGTGAAGGTATGTGTGCTTATGGGGCCAAATCCTAGGAGGAATGGGTTATCCTCTAAGAGAAGAGGGCAGAAGAGCTGATGTTTCACTTGCTTTTACCTATCTGGGCACCACATGAAGGGTTACATTCTGTGTCGTGCAGATCCCCCCTGTGTGCTGACAGTGCTGATCTCTTTTGGATTTTGCACTCAGACTGAAATAAAAAGGCTCTTGATACAGCTCTTGCTCTCCTCTGAGTCTTAAATCACCAGCTTTGGTGGAAATTGTCCTTGAGTCTGTGCACAGTTACTTGGGCGAAGTCACCTCTCTGCTCTGGAGCAGCAGCTCATGGGTGTGTGGAGGCGGCACCACACAGAATTGTTGGTTATTGCTTTGCTGTTTTTCTTTAAAAACTCAGAAGCTGGCTGCTGCGGTGTTATCCCTGTATCCTAAACTGACACCATATTGCCCTCTTTTTCTTAGGGCAATATGGTAGTGTGAGGATGTGTTTTCCAAACTTGAGTGCAGGTTTAGCTGCAGTTTTTTGTCCAATTGCAGAGGCAACATCTTTAAGGGTAGTTTAACTTCCAGAGCTGGAGCTGCTGTTGGCATAGCCCTGCACTGTCCTTCTCTTTGTTCTGACCTGTGGAAAGGATGTGGAGGTTTGCTCCTACATTGAGCAGGCTCAGAGGTTTGTGCAACAAACACATAGCTGGGGAGCAATAACATGTTGCTGTATAATTGTTCTCAGGCTTCTTTCTCTTGGATTTTTTTTTAAATCCTTCTGCAGGTTCCCACCACCACTGAGGGTTTGTATTGGATGTTTGCTCTATGAGATTGGCTCTGTTTTGTTCTGTTCCAGCCCACTGCTTCCTGCAGAAGCGTTGTGGAAGTCTCTGGGGGGCTGATTGCCAACCTTACTGTGCGGTGCCATCGCAGCACATTCAGCTCTGAATCCATGAGCAGCGAGGAGGTAAGGAAGGGGAAATCTCATTTTTGCTGCCTGGAAGAGTGAAAACTCTGCTAACCCTCTTTTAAAGAGAAGTCCAGGTGTCTGTGTGAGCTCCTGTTGCAGGAGGAGGTTTGGATCAGGAAAGTGGCTGTAGTTTGAAATCCAGCTGTCAGCCGTGACTCTTCCTTTTCCATCACCCGAGGGCTCTGGCCTTGCCTGGGAGAGTGTGACTCTCTGTGGCAGTCTGGCACATCTATCACTTCCAGCACTTCCTTCACTGAGTATGGGCCTGGAGAACAGTGACTGGTACTTCTTGGACACAGACAAATCCCTGTGGCTCTGGCTCTGTTACCAAGCCCAGCTCCCAGCTGAGCTGTCATCACAGTTGGTCTGCTGAGGTCTTTGTTCACTTTTTGAGCACTTTTTTGGTTTTAAGGGTGTTATGCAATGCTGACCTAACCTGGGAATTCCTACTGACTGTTTTTCCAAACTGTGCCAGTGTCCACTTTATCCATGAACTGACTCTTGAACCTGTGTGTCTGCACTTAGAACACAGCTCTACTGTGGGTGTTGTGCTTGAGGGAACACAATTTAACAAGCAAGGATACGGACAGCTTTTATTTTTGGAAAATTCAGGGAGCTAAGTGAAGAATTTGAATTGTAGAATCACAGAATGGTTTGGGTTGGAAGGGACCTTAATGTCCATCCAGTTCCACCCCCTGCCATGGGCAGGGACACCTTCCACCGTCCCAGGCTGCTCCAAGCCCCAGTGTCCACCCTGGCCTTGGACACTTCCAGGGATCTAGGGACAGCCACAGCTGCTCTGGGCACCCTGTGCCAGGGCCTCCCCACCCTCACAGGGATGGATTTCTCCCCAGTGATCCCATCTCACCCTGCCCTTCAGCTCAAGGCCAGTCTTCATTGTCCAGTCACTACAAGCCCTTGTGAAAAGTCCCTCTCCAGCCACTTTGTAAGCAAATAGGATTCTTTGTTACTTTTCCTTGGCTTGAATTGCCAAATTAGCTCTTCATTTATTCTTTTTTTTTTTTTTCCTCAAAATCTCCATTCAGAGCTGGATAGCCAGTGCACCCCAGGAAGCCTGGCTCTGCAGGGCAGAAAGACTGCATGTGGAGCCCTGGAATGTGTAACACAGTCTGGGATGTTCAGGCAGTCCTCTGTGGGTTGACATAACCGCTGTTTAACAGGGCTCTCAGTACAAACACTTGCTTTTACAAGCAGACATCTTCCCCCAAGTCTTCCTTAACCATCACTTAAAATTCAGTGCTGTTGCCATATTCCTGCTGGGGAATATATTTCCTGCAAAGTTAATAAGGAATAAATGCCAAAGGGAATTACTGCACTTGAAAAGTAAAGTGTTTCCCTCTGCAGAGAGCTGCAGCAAGTGAACTGTAGCTCTTGCTGTGGAGCTGTGACTCTGCTCAGGGGATCTCAGCTTGGCTGAGGTGGTGTTGGTGCACCTGTGGTGCTATTTGGATGGGAGAGGGAATTGTGATTGACTGAGGCTGGCATCACAGAACATCCTGAGTTTGATGGGATCGTGGAGTCCAACCCCTGGATTGCAGGAGCACCAGCAGTAATATTGTTATCAGCAAAATCAAGAATGAGGTTTAGAATTACTTTAGTGACCACCTCGTGCCTGAGAGAATGGAGAGGTGGGACTTCTTGCCAGGTGAGGATTTTAAAGAAATGTCTTTAATTTCCAGATGATGCACGTGCCCATAACGACCCCTGACAGGTGGGGCGGTGCTCGCAGGGAAGGTAAGACGGCTCTGCCATGCTGGAATACCCTGACCTGTGTTTTCCTCTTGGAACATCTCAAGGCCATCTGTCTGAGGGAGAAGACAATGTGAAAGATCAGCTCTTTGCTCCTGGTCATGGGCAACTGGTTTTTCCCTTGCAGAGGGGTGTCCAGTTTAGGGTGTATGGAGGGCACTGTCCTGCCAAGCCAGGCCATGCTGAGGTTTATACATTTTTTGGATTGCCAGATTTGTGGTCTCATAACCAGTACTTGTGTGCAGAATGCAGTGCTGAATATTTTCTATTCTAGAATCACAGAGTGGTTTGGGTTGGAAGGGATTGGAAAGACCATCTCGTTCCATCCCTGCTCTTGGCAGGGACACCTTCCACTATCCCAGGTTGTTCCAAGCCCTGTCCACCCTGGTCCTGGACTCTTGCAGGGATCCAGGGGCAGCCACAGCTTCTCTGGGCAATAATCAACATAAGTCTGAAAGCATCTCATGCTTACAGATGTCTGCATGTTCTTTTTTTAGATGATGCCTTTGCTCCTGAAGCCTTCCCTTCAAGGGGAAGAGGCAGCAGCCATGGAGACTGGAACAAACCCAGATACTTCAACCCTGACAAGATGGAATAACCTGGGCTGGGTGAGTGTGGGTTAGAGTTAGGGCTGGGAGAGTCAAAGAACCTGCAGCTCCAGTAACACTGGGACTGCAAAAGGCCATCCCTGCTTTGTTGCTCCTACATCTTTCTGATCCGCACCACCAATGGTGATGGGACTCGAGTTAGGATAGACTTAGGATTAGGCTTAGGTTTAGCTTTTATACACCCTGGGTCTGCAGGTTTTGTGGCAGGGTGGGAAGTGACTGCTCAGTATGAAGTACTTTTAGCTCCTTGGAAGATTGGAAGACATCCCAGCTCCAGAGCTTGTGGCTTTGCCTCACTTTTGAGTTGTCCATCCTGTATCCTCCAACACACACCCGTGCCCTGGGGTGCAGGTAGTGTGCAAAGCATGCAGGAAAATCCTCCAGTAAACTCAGAGTTTGAGTTCAGTGTAGGCTTCTAGCCTTTTTACCCCCATTTGCCTCATGACAAGGACAGTGCGGGGCTGGAGCATATCCAGAGGAGGGATATGAAGGAATGGCCGTGTCTTTGTGCCAAACCAAGTTCCTCAGGGCCACTCAAACAAAAACTGAAGGGATCTGGGAGAAGCACTTGTCTCAGAGAATCCGTGAAGGAGATGTTTGGAAGCCAGTTAACGGGAATGCTAATGAAAGGCAGCCGTGATTTATTGGAGCTGGCAGAGCCTGTCCTACACAAAGCACCTTTGCTGACCTGCCTCTGCAGCTCTGTGTGGGAGCAGCTCTAATTGCTGCTGATGCTTTACCTGCTGTCTTAAGGCCTTAATCTAAAGGGAAGTGGTTTGAAAGAGTTTTAGCAACCGGGAATGAGCTCATTCTTTGGCATGCTAAACAGGTTTAAAGTAGTTGGGAAGAGGAAATTACTTAGTGCTCTGTCTTTGTGATTAAAAAGACTTCCAGCGCTCGGGTACATATCATTAGCAGGTCTCTGTCCCTGTGGAGTGCCAGAACGGAGTGCTCCCTGTGTGTGGAGCTCAGCCCCAGCCTGCTGCGTTGGAAACGAGACAGTTTTAGATGGAATTTAGCACCGGTGACTCACCAAAAGCTAACACATGTTACTCATAAGCATATCCGTGGTAAACCTCCATGTGCTGGAGGAGACAAGCCTCCTGCTCTCCTGGAAACGAGATATCAAAGGAAAACCCAGGCACTCTGCTCTGTTTGTAAGAATTATTTCATTAAATCCATATGCTATTTTAGTTCATCCCTGAGCCACTAAAGCCAATAGACCTTTTTAATCACTGCCTGCCTTCTTAGAGGAATTTCTAACTTTTCTTTGCCTTTGGGAAGTGCTAGGTATCTTTAATTTTCTGGCTCTCAAGAAGAGCTATCCCCTTTCAGCAGCACTCAGAAATGCTTTGTGTTCTTGTACCTAACTTCTAACAAATCTCCAAACCGAAAGCAAGATGTAAAATCTTCCTGAAAATAGAACGTGAAGCAAGCGGGGAGAAATTTATGGTTCTTGAAACCCAGAGCATTTTGAAATTTAATACTTTCTGCTTGCTTTTAAAAATGGGTTGCAAGTGTCATTTATGAAGCTGTATTTCATGCAAGTGTCAGCTATGGAGCTGTTTTTTCCGACGAGTTTCCTGGGTTTTGGACATGTCAGAGGCAGATATATCAGGAGATTTAAAGACAATATCAACTCTACCCCCAAAGCCCCTTGTTTCTCTTGCTTTTATCAATTTGACTTATTAGTTGTAGAGTCTGGAGAGGAATCTTCCTGATTTTGCTGCTATCCAGAATTAGAGGATTTCATTTGAAGTCAAAAATTAAACAGATTTTATGTGTCTGAGGCCAGGAAAAGTTATTCCCTGCTGTTTTTCCTGGGTTTTGGCATATGTGTGATCCTGGCTGGCATTATTACAAGCCATGCAGGGTTTGGTGGGGGCATGGGAAATGAGTGCTGAGTTTTGAAATGGCAGTAGGCTCGACTGGCTTAGCTTAGCTGAGAAGATTTTGGGGGAGGCTGGGGAAATAGCAATTTAATAATAGAAGACTTTCATCTCTTACTGAAAGAACCTGGTGCTGACAGGCAAAGCTAGACAAGTCCAGGTAAGAAATGAAATGTGATTTTTTTTTTTTCTTTTGCACACTAGAATGGGTAACTGACTGCTGCAAAAAATTGCTCAGGCAAGTGGCTGACAGCTTTTCATGCTGGATTTTACATTTCTCAGCTAGGCCTTCTTACCTTTTTGGCTTCAGGAATTATTTCAGGAGAATTCTGTGCTTGACTTTGTGCAAGAAGCTAGTCTAAATGAACTCACTGGTGCTTTGTAGCTCTTTTTATTTATTAGAATGTGCTAAATATTCAGGAGGGGAAAAAAATCAGTGCCATTGTTATATAAAGAACATTTTCAAGTCTGCAGTCTTCAGACCCACTGGTCTGCTGGTGCCTGCAGGAATTAGAAATTGAATATGAAAAAACCCATCAATGATTAATGAGCTTACTTCAGTGACAAGTCCTAATCAGATTTTCTGGATTTATTTCCTCGTCCATCTCCAGAACTGGGGAGATTGTGAAATTCCCGTGGCATGCTCTGGGGCCAGTCTTTCCCATAAATAGTTCAGGCAGACAGGGACAGGAGGGGAGAAAAAGCTGCTGTGCAAGAGCTGATCACCTGTTAACAACCTGAGCCTGCAAGGAGCTGGAGTCTGCTTGATGCTGCTCTGAATTGCAAAGAGGAGCCCAAAAATGGCTCAGACTTGCCGACCACCTTAATCCCCGTGGAGCAAAAGGGTCCTGATGCTTTGCTCTTCCAAAACCACCTGCCTAAGGCAGCTTTTTCTTGTGAATTATATCTGGAGTCTCCCCAGCTGTGCTTCATGTCCTTGAACAGGAAAATCAAGAAGCGAGTTCCTGCCTTTGCAAAATACAAGTAGATGGTGAATGCTGATTGTGTCTTACTCGCTAATCACACGAGGGAAGTGGGTTTTTAACAGGAAATCAGCTTCCTTCAGCATCAAGCTAAGGGGCTTTGATTTCCTCCTCGAGTTTTCTGTATTTTCCTTACAATTGCTCCCTGACTGAGGACCCTGTCACCTGGCACAGCTCGCTGCTGGCAGAGATGGGGTGGTGGCAGTCCTGATTAGCAGCACTGCGACAGACTGGCATCCTTAAACATCAGGGTGGGCTTTTTTCAGTGGAATAGTATCAGGCAGCACTGGGCCTCTTCTCATACCTCAGAAATCCAGGATCTGACCTTCGGAGTGAAATGGGTGCTTGTTTATCTGTCTCCTGTAAATATAATAGCAGAGCAGGGTTCACAGCTCTCCTGAGGTATGGAAAACTGAGCTTTAATCCCCAGTGCCCTCATTAAGGAGCTGCTTGATTTTAGTTGTGGTTTTATATCCTCATGTCTTTGTTTTTGCCTCTCCTGTTTGCCCACCCGCTTTCTACGGTCCTCATAAACCTGCTTATTGCTTTCTGTGGGGGAAAAAAAGAAGAAATAAGAAAGTGAAGCACCAGAGGGAAGGGAAATCCCTGCAGGGTGGGATCTGTTGCAGGGTGAGTGAGCTCCGTGTCGGATGAGCTTTAGGAGCAGTTTGGCGCTTGGGGAAATGTCAGGCTGCTGTTTTATCGCTCCTGCCACAGAGCCTGGCTGTGGTGGCCGAGTCCTCAGTGTCACCTGGCAGCTGTGATGTGCTGTGGCAAGGGGACAGCATGCTTTCATCTGTTCAGAGGCAAAGGACTCAGAGGGAAACAGAGCCAGGCAGGACCTTTCCTGCTGCTGGGGTCAGAGCGTGGCAGGGCTGGGGCAGAGGTGTTAGAGCAGAGAGGAGAGTCGCTGTGACAGCCTCCTGGTGCTGTGAGCAGCAGCAATTTTTGTCTTGCCCTTTGTCCCCCCTCTTCTCGATCTGTTTTGAAGGATTAGACCCACGGAGGAAATCGGTCCTACTTAGGGAGGACATTGAGCTTAGATGATCCCTTGCACTTCATAAGCCCCTTTGTCTAATTCCAGGAGGAAACCAACTGGACTTCCTTCCCTGGAGGTATGGAAAGGGCTCTCGACTGCCCTCAACCTATTGCTCAGTGCTGACTTTTAGAAATGAGCTCCTGAAAGGATCACACAGACAGGAAGACCCTCTCAAAGCAGGGCTGTGTGCCTGAGGTTGGAATACCATGGGATAGAGATCCCTCATCCTACACACAGGAACCCTCCTGAGGGAAGACTTTCTCCTTAAACTGAGCTGGAATTTCCTGTGTTTCCTCTGGTTCCTGTTTCTTCTGTTGTCTCTTGGTCCCCAGCAATGATTGCAGTGGCTGGTCCTGGCATCCCCCATCTCCTGGGCCTGGCTCCAGGCAGGATTCAGTGGCTCCTGGACAAGCTGTTCTTAGACAGTCACTATATTTAATCCCTTACACACGTGTGGACTCTCCTTTCTTGCCCGAATCTGTCTCTAAAATTTTACTAACAAAATTGTCTTACAGAAAAATTTCAGGTTGCCATGGTGACCAACTTGCTGAAGACAGTGTAGGCTACAGGGTGCTGGGGAAGCTGTCACATGTTCCCTTGAAAAAGCACATCTCCCATTTCTTCTGAATATTGTACTCTGCATTCAGATCCATTTCAGAGCAGACCACACATCAGCTTCCAGCCTCAACCAACTCTGCTTTTGAGACTTGACAATACATGTTGATTTGTGTCCCATGGTTCTTATTTCACTGTTGTTAATTTTTCTAACAATCTGCTTCTTTTTATTCCTTTTTTCCCCCCCTAATTAGCCATTGCCACAACATTTGGGCACATATGAAATGTTTTGCATGTGTAGGTTTCTTTTTGCAGATTCCACAGGGTGGGAAGCAAATTAACAAGCAACTTGTTGAAGCTGAATACACTTTTCTCAAGGATGGTTCTAAGACAATTTCTCAGACATTTCTCCTCCTTCTCTGTTTTTAAAGTAGATTGGAGAATAAGAAGAGTCAAGATTAAACTAGATTGGAGAATGAGAAGAGTCAAGATTCAAAGATTCAAAGATCCAGAACCTGATGCCTTGGCCTTTCCTTTTTGGTGAAAAAACTGTTCTTCTGTGGAGTGAGAGTCTTTCCCCAAACTCACTTTCTGCTCATGAGATGCTAAATACACCGTCATCCATCAATAAGCCCTTCTGATGTGTTAGGTATCCCTGGGAGAACTCCAATTTAACTGTGTCCAGGACATTTCCACCACCCCATAATGATGCTATTAAAACCTCATTATTCCATTTGTTTGTTCTGCGTTGCTCTCTGCTTGCTTGTAATTTTCTGTGATGCTCCCGGCTAATTATTGATTATTCAAACGAAAACACCCACACTCAATTCCTGTCTCTCCCGTCTGCAGCAGCTGTGGACAGAACAGCCTCACTCCAAATCCAGAGGTTGGAGTTGAAGTCCACCAGGAATTTGGCTTTAATGGGTTCTTGGTCGCTAATGTGGAGAGCTGGGGGCTGCTAATGACGGTGATTGTCAGGTACGAATGGCTTTTGGAAGAAGGCCAGGTTAGAGCAGACCTCTGGTGTGTTCCTCACCTGGGAAAGGTCTCAGCAGTCTTGTCCCCTTCTCTTCACCCCCTGCACAGAGCCCACCCTGCGGCTCTTGGGGAAATGGAAGGTTGCTGTGCAGCTTGGGGGTTTGTTGGTTTTTTTTTTTTTTCAAAGGATTTGTTAGTCAAAATCAACTTACTTTTCTCTCTAAAGCCACTGTCCCCCCAGTTTGACTCTCACCTCTTTTTCCCTCCTGTTTGCAGTGAGGTAACCTGATTTGTAGGAAATTCCATCTCAAAATCTTGAGAAGATGCAGTCAGAGCCCTCGATAACCCCAGGGCAGCAGGGAGCAGAGGGTGCTGGCAAGGTGCTGAGGTCCAACAGAACAAGGGATGCTTTCCTTTTCCACGGTTGATTTGCTTTGCTTAGATGAACAGGACTGGGAACCTTCAAGGCCAGGCTGGATGGGGCTGGGAGCAGCCTGGGATAGTGGGAGGTGTCCATGCCTATGGCAGGGGAGTGGGATGAGATGGGCTTTAAAGTCCCTTCCAACCCAAATCAGCCTGGGATTCCATGATTCCTTTGCTCGGAATGCCCAGTGCCAGAGTCCTCCATGATCTGTCGCTCTTCCAAATTTTTGTATAGCATCTTCTTTCCCAGTAGGGCTGATTTCACCCATCTGTGCTGATTTTAGGTAGAACCATGACTCTTGGTTGGACAGGAACAGCCTAGGTGCTTTCTGAAACTCCTGAGCTCGAGAGATTGTGGCTTAGGTCTTTTTATGTGTGTCTTTCTGGCCCAGGTGAGCAGAAGACTTTCCTGGCCTGTTTCTCCAAGACCTGGCTTTGTTTCCTGGAAGGGATGAGGTGGATTGACACAGGAAATAGCTTCAGCTGGGCATGTACTCTTCCCTGTTTCACTCTTGCTTTTCCCAGTTCCCCACAGACAGTTCTCAGGGCCAGGAGTTGGATTCAACAATCTTTGTGGGCCCCTCTGACTCAGGATATTCTCTGACTTTATATTTTGCTAATATGTGATAATTCAAAGTGCACTTCTCTACACACTCACAAACACAAATTTAAAAAAAAAAAGAAAAAAAAAAAAGAAAAAAAGGAAAAAAACCCCCCCTTTTTTTTTTTTTTTTCGTTTTTTCTTCCCACCTCCTAGCCAAAATGATTGCAGTGTACTTTAAGCTCCTGGCTGCATGCATTGAAATGCCTTCACACCTAGGAGGTGCTGATGTGGCATCTGCTGTGCAGATGTTTATCTGGCAGCAGGGAGCAATATTTCCTTTGTCCACATTACTTTCCGGAGGTTTTCCTGGTCCCAAATTGCTGACTCAAGCACTCGGTGCTCCAACATACCAATGACCCTTGCTAGGGATGCTCCCTTCCAACTCGCCTGGCTCAGAGTTCGGTCTGTGTAAGCAGACCATGAGTTTTGTTGTTGAATTTTGCTTGGGGAGTGGAGATTTATGCAGCAGCAGGGACAGGGAGGGATCTTTCCCCACACCCTTAGAGGCACTACTTGCCCTGGAAGGAATGTGCAGAGTAGAAATTCTCTCCTCTTGCAGACTTTGAGGCTGTTCAGAAACTCTGAGGCAGCAAAAAAGGGAAGGGAGACAGCAAAGCCACGGGGGATGAGACTGGGCCTTGCTGCATGCAGGGTCTTCGTAGCTGTTTGAGCTTTGTTGTCTTACCAGAAGGTGAAATGTTGTCACCCTTCCACTGTAGGATGAGGAAAGAAGTAAGAGTTTGGATTTGTGTAGTGATTTGGGGAATGAACAGGAGCAACTGCAGCTGCCCACACGGGACAGGACACCCGGCCCCTGCCCAGACCTCCAGCACTGCAGTCTGTCCCCAGGGAAGCATGGAAAGTGCTGACTTCCTGCTCTCTGAGAAAAGCAGTAAAACCTGCATCCACGGCAGAATCACTCCTTTCATATTCATTTTCTCTGTTTGGTTTTTTTGTACACCCCGACACTTTTTATGCTGACAGTGTCTGGGCAGGAATTCCCATGGTGTGGGATAGATGAAGGACAACACCACACAGTGATACTGCAGAAAAACTGGGATCAGTTCCCTTGTCTCCCTTCAGTCAGCACTTGTGGAATCTGGGCTCCAGGGTGCCACAGCATCTCATTTGCCAGACCCTCTTTTTGGCATCGTGGCACACACAGATGCTCCGTGATGGACACCCCACCCCTGGAAGTGTTCAAGGCCCGGTTGGACAGTGCTTGGAGTAACCTGGTCTAGTGGAAGGTGCCCTGAGATGGTCTTTAAGGTCCTTTCCAGGCCAGTCTGTGGCTCTGTGATCACTGCCAGGCACTGGTGTGGTTTATGCCACCACGGGACTGGCATTGGTGTGTTGGTAGCCACACATCAAATTCTGTTTACATGGGCTAGCTGGGAATGAGTAGAGCTACCAGCAATAAAGATGGGCCCAGTCCTACCTGGAACTAGCCAAAAAAAGTTCCCAAATAGCAGAGATGATCAGCTGGATGGAGCCTAGCCCATGGCAGAGAGAAGGCTGCTGCTCATCCTGGAGGAATATGGAGATTTCCAGGCATATGCTCGGCTGTCAGCAACCTCAGCTCAGGCTGCTCGTCCAGCCTGACCCCTGGATGATCTCTCTGAAATGAAGAAAAGGCATTTATTGCCAAACCCATGTCCTGATCCAGAGTGGGGAGGTGTTGGGAGCAGGACCTGAGCGTTTTCCCACTGGGAGCGTGGGGCTGGAGCAGGTCTGCAAGTGTGAGTTCATCACAGACACTTGGGAGGGTCCCGAGGAGCCACAGCTGTGCTGAGGGTGGGGAACATCCTCTGTGGCACAAAGAACCAGTGGCTGATCCCAGGGCTGTCGGTGAGCCTGGCTGGCCACTCCTGCTCCTGCTTCCTGCTGGTGCTGATGCCCACTAGATGTCAGAATTGAATAAAGGCAAGGGGAGGCAGCATCTCTGTTCTCAAATGATTCCTCTTTCCCCCCTCCTTCTGATTTCTGGCCAGCTGTGTGATAAAATGACCTTTGTGCAAGGAGGGTTGGTGTGTTTAAATGATGAAGAGAACAGGGGATGCAGAGGAGAAATGACTGAGACAAAAAATCCTGGCCAGGTTGGAGTGCTTGTTTGGCCTGTGGCAGCCCAGAGCTCAAATTCTGCTCCAGGCACAATGATGGTTTTGCTTTTTACTCCGTGGACAGTAGAATTTTCTTTCTCCTGCATGACAGACTAATCCTTTTTGATAAAATGGCTTTAAATCAGATTTCCCAGCCTTGGCTTACTTGTCTTGGATGTGCAGTAAGAGGAAAGCTTGGCCTTTGGTAAGAGGAAAACTAGAGAAATAAATGCTGCTTGTGGAGGGGTTTGATTTCAGAATTGAAATCTTCTACCTGTTCCCAGCTCCCATCTCAGCTCTTACTGAGGAGCTCAGCTCATTCACTGCAGCTGCTTAACTTTAGCAAGAGCATCCTAATGCCTCTTAAAGATTAGGTGCGCTAATTAATGCTTCCACAACCAGGAAGAAATCTGCTCCTGTCTGACATTCACAGCTGCCACAGTGTTTGCTCCCTTCAAACCTCCTGCTGGCATTAAAATCCTGATTTCCCCCCCTGTTTTTTTCCCAGGACAAATTGTTGCCTCTCTCTCAGGGCACAGTGGGAATTCTCTGAAGGAAATGGAGTGCCAGCACTTGGCGATCATCATGTGGTGGAGGCTTCTGAGAGGGTGGTGGTGATGTGTCTGTGGGCGCTGCTTATCCCCTGTGACAAACAAGAAGTCTGGGCTGGAAAACCAGTGTTAGACCTGGAAAGGGGAGCTTAAAACACAGGTCTTAACTCTCCCAAGGAAGTAAAGCTCCTGGAAGTTATCTAGATGTTCACTGGAGATTAAATCAGGGGGAGATTAAGCTGGGAGAAAAGTAGCCCAAGAAGGAAATTGGGATTTCATGTTGGCCTCCAGAGACCAAACTGGTTTAGGGCATTATTTATCTGTGAGACGTGAAGGAGGAGACCACCAAGAAAACCACAAAACCTGGCAGGATCCCAGGGATTACAGGCCTTGATTAATGAGAGTTTGAAAAGAATATTATGTGCTTGTGGAATATTTTTTCTGAGCAGAGGGAAGGTGATGCTGCTGGCTGAGCCTCCTGATCTGGAATGAATAATGGAGAGGAAAAAGACCCCAGCATCCCAAATGGAAGGCTGTGGATTTAAAGAGTAAAGGAAACCCCATAATCACATCAAGAAGAGGTCCTGTGCAGAAGAATGGGGGCCAGAAACATTTCAGCCTAGGGCTACATGCCACGTGTGGGTTGCTGGGATAGACTTAGAAAGATTGAAACTTTCAGGTTGGAAAAGACCTTTAAAATCATCAAGTCCAACTGTCAACCTAAAAATGGGGCAGCAAAACCCCAACAACTTCTTCTGTGCATGTTTCAAAGGTCTTTCATTTCCTTTTGTCTTTGAATACTGCAGGCAGTCTTGTTCAAGGGTGAGAAATCTCCATTAGGCAGGCTTGCCAGGGGCTTTGGGAGAGGATAGATTGGATAAAAAAGACAAACCAAAAAACTCTGGTGTGGTCTCTGATGCAGGGGCTGCTAAGGAATATTTTTATACCTTTCCTGCTTAGTGGAATGGTCTTCCAGGGTATTTTGAAGGGAAGAAGCTCTGACTACAGGTAATGCTAGAACCGATTGCAAAAGCCTTTGAGTTGTTTGGCTTTCTAAGCTGGTGTTTTATTAATTGCC